GGCTGCGAGTGAAAGCACTCCTGCCATCCCATTGATGATGTCGAGCATTGGGACGACCTTTGCTCCGATCACCACTGTAGGATCGATTGGCATGATCCCAATCATGTCAACCCCTACTCCTACGCCGACGACAACAATGTTCCCAGGCTCGATAACAACGCCTGGTGGAGCATTCACACCATACCCGTCAGCTTGGGCTTAGTTTGCTGCTGACCCGGCAAATGCTCAGGCTCTACAGGGCTATCAACAGGTGATGGCCATGATGCAACAGGCAGGTGGCTTCATGCCATTTGCCTATCCTGGTATGACGCCGCCAATTATGCCACCTCCGGTGTCGACCCCGTCAACATTTGTCCCTAGGATGGTCCCTATACATCCGATGAATCTGACGAGGACCATGAATGAAGCAGCACCCTCAAATGTCCATGAGGTCGATGAGGCGGAGCAAGAGGCGGCCCGCAGGAAGAAGGGTAAGGCTATAGCTGAACCCAGCAAGACTAGAGATTCGGCGTTCAAACGCCTAGGGGGCAAAGAGGATGGACCCGCAAGTCTGCCAAGCTACGTATTGGTCCTGAGATGGGCCGGACTAGCGCAATGGAAAGACTTGGCGGGAGTCGTCACGCCCAATCTCGTCGTTCTAGGGAATCTGAGACGATTCACCAAGACGAGGAGGAAGCAGAAAGCCAGCCGAGGGCGTCGGCATATACCAGGCTCTCATACGATGAGGATGACCTGGACAAGATAGGGAGCGTAGCAAGGAAATTACGTGCCCTGGAGGAAAAGGTGGAAGAGAAGGCGGGAGCGAAAAAACACACTTTGGCTAAATCTCCCTTTTCGGCCAGGGTACATGCGCAGAGGTTGAGGCGGAAGATCAAGCTGGACGTGGAGAAATTCACAGGGAAGGAGGATCCAAACGTCCACCTTGACACCTTCCACAATGCAGCACAGATGGCAGGGTGCACTGATGCTGAGGAGTGCTTGCTCTTCTTCTCATCCTTGATAGGGAGGCCTGTGGAATGGTTTAACGGCCTTCCCCATGGCAGGATTGGGTCCTTTGAGAAACTTGCCGAAGTTTTCCGCAAGAAGTACCAGGACAACTGCATTAAGAGGAAGAAGTTCACCTACCTTAACACGGTAGGGCAGAGGGAGAAGGAGTCCTTGACTCAATTCTTAACCCGCTGGAGGGATGAGGTTGACAAAGTAGAAGAGATGGATGATAAGACGGCCATGTCTTTATTGATGAATGCCTTCCGGTCAGATGACCTCTACACTGAATTCTGTAGGAGGCCGCCCTCCTCTTATCAGGAAGCCTACAATACGGCATGGGAATATGCCGAGGCAGAAGTGCTGAACAAGAATAAGCGGGAGCTGGAAGAAGGCTACACAAAGTCGAAATCCGACAAGCTAAAGAAGGATGAGCAGACAGGAGGGTCCAAACTAAAGGCCACATATGACGGATCCATCCACCAAATAAGGGATGATAAGAAGGGAGAGCAACCCAAGAGACAATGGACGGAGAAGTGGTGCACATACCACCAATCCGATTCCCACAACACGGCGGATTGCCGAAATGTCAAGACTGTGCTCAAGGAGATGGCCTTGAAAGGAGAGCTTGGGGAAGGTTATGCGACGGGTAATAAGAAGGACCCGAAAGCGAACACCTGGACCCGTCATCAGGGAAAAGACCAGGGAAGGAGAAAATCCGGGAAGGATAACAACAATCCGGATAAAGAATTCATAGAGATGATTGTCGGCGGCCCAGAAGGCGGGGACACTGCCTCCCAGCGGAAGAACTGGGCCAGGAGTTTGCATGTGGCGGTGGTTTCCCTGGAGTCACATGGGAAGCAGGCAAGGAGGGAACCTATCACTTTCACTGATAGGGATCTGCCCAGGACGGGGGGAGATCATAATGACCCTCTGATCATTACAATGGATATCAATGGGGCCGATGTGGCCAGGGTCCTGGTTGACACAGGAAGCAGTGTCAATGTTTTATACTTAGATGCTTTCAAGAAATTGAAGCTTGACAGATCTATGTTGAGGCCATTGCAAACTCCATTGTCAGGCTTCACTGGAGCTAGCATAGAAGCGGAAGGTCAGATCACCTTACCAGTTACCTTGGGGTCGGGTAACAAAATAGTAACCAAGCAAATGAGATTTGTTGTGGTTGATATCAAGTGTGTACATAATGCCATTCTTGGTAGACCTGGAATCAACCAGGTCAGGGCAATCATTTCTATGGCACACTTATGCATGAAGTTTTACACTCCCAATGGAATCGGGGAGGAAAGGGGTGATCAAAAGAACGCCCGGTCCTGCTACCTGGAAGCAGTCAAGAAGATGACCCGCTAGTTCGAACAAATTGAATTGGTCTCCCAACAAGTAGACAAGGGAGAGGAGAAGACTAGAATCGAGCCGGATGCAAACACGGAGGAAGTCCAGATGGATTCCTCCAATCCTGAGAGGAAAGTCAAGATTGGAGCTGATCTTCAGGAGGAGCTAAGGACTGAGGTTGTCCAGGTGCTGACCAGGTATAAATCTTTGTTTGCCTGGAGTGTTGCTGATATGCCCGGAATTGACCGGTCAGTCATTTGCCATCGTCTCTCTGTTCTTGAGGGGTCTAGGCCTGTAAGACAGAAGAAGAGATTTTTGGCAAGTGATAGGAGAGATTTTGTAAAGAAGGAGGTTAAGGACCTACT